AATAAAACATATATAAATAATAATAGTAATTAAAACAATAAATAAAAATGTTACTTTCCAAACAAACTATGATACGTCGAAGTTTGCATTCTGTTTCTCTGTTTTAGATTCTAAACACAAATAAAAACTTCAAGGGGTCACCTAGAATAACAGAACGGAAGTAACCTGTGTTCTGGTTCCTTCGGCTTCACACCTTGTTTGTGCTGAGTCTACTGTTAATATAGACAGGAACCTGTAGCCAGAGGTGTTGGAGACCCCAAGCGTGTCTGCAGCGAGCTTGCACGGTTCTGGGCCATTAGGAACTTACTCTCAAAATAAACGAGTGTAGCTGGGTTTGTGTGTACTGAGTGCCAGCTGTATAACCAGAAGTTCTCTTGAGTTAACAGCCATATAGAGTTGTTGTGAGTTGTAGTCCAGTCAGCTCCAGCTCATGGTGAGCTTAGGTATAACAAAACGGGGCGTTGCCAGGTCCTGAGCCATTTGATGATTCTTGATGTGTTTGAGGCCATTGTTGTGGCTGTTGTATCAGTCCCCCTCGCTGAGGTTTTCCCTCGTTTTCATTGGTCTTCCACTTTACCAAACATGATGTCCTTTTCTAGTGATCGGTCTTTCCTGATGATGTGTCTATACTGGACAATGTTCTGTCGTGATCCATAAGGTTTTCATTGGCCGATTTTCAGAAGTCGATCACCAGTCCTTTCTTCCTAGTCTGTTTTAGTCTGGAAGCTCTGCTGAAACCTGTTCAGCATCATAGAAACACGCAAGTCTCCACGGACAGATGGGTGGTGGCTGTGTTTGAAGTGCACTGGCCAGGATTAGAACCTGGGTCTCTCACATGGAAGGTGAGAATTCTACTGCTAAACTACCAATGCCTCCTATAATTTACATACAGTAAGTTCACCCTTTTTAGTGTATAATTCTATGAGTTTTGACAAACACATACTGTGTAAACACAGCCACAGACAAGATACAGAAGAGTACTATCAATTTCCAAGATTTCCTCATGCCCCTGTGTGTTAGCCCCCGCCCACCCCCAGCCCCTGACATTCACTCATCTGTCTTCTGTCCACGTGGTCTTGCCTTTTCTGGCGTGTCATGTAAGTGGAGTCATTATGGAAGTAGCCACTTGAGTCAAGCTGTTTCCACTTAGCTTAACATAGTTGAGATTCATTATGTTCTGTGTACCAATAGTTCTTTCCTTTTCATCACTGAGTAGAATTCCATGATATGACTGTACTACCTTGATGTCCTCCCCCCCACCCCCCGCCAAGTGTATGTCAGTTTGTCGTACTGTGGGGCTTGTGTGTTGCTGTGATGCTGGAAGCTATGCCACTGGCATTCGGATCCCAGCAGAGTCACTCATGGCGGACAGGTTTCAGCTGAGCTTCTAGACTAAGACAGACTAGGAAGAAGGACCTGGCAGTCTACTTCTGAAAAGAATTAGCCAGTGTAAACCTTATGAATAGCAGTGGAACACTGTCTGATATAGTGCCGGAAGATGAGCACCCCCAGGTTGGAAAGCACTCAAAAGATGACTGGGGAAAAGCTGCCTCCTCAAAGTAGAGTCGACCTTAATGACGGCAATGGAGTCAAGCTTTTGGGATCTTCATTTGCTGATATGGCACGACTCAAAATGGGAAGAAACAGCTGCAAACATCCATTAATAATTGGAACCTGGAATTTACAATGTATGAATCTAGGAAAATTGGAAATCATCAAAAATGAAATGGAATGCATAAACATCGATATCCTAAGCATTAGTGAGCTGTAATGGACTGGTATTGGCCATTTTGAATCAGACAATCATATGGTCTACTATGCCGGGAACAACAACTTGAAGAGGAATGGCATTGCATTCATCGTCAAAAAGAACATTTCCACATCTATCCTGAAGTACAGCGCTGTCGGCGATAGGATAATATCCATACGCCTACAGGGAAGACCAGTTAATGCGACTATTATTCAAATTTACGCACCAACCACTAAGGCCAAAGATGAAGAAATTGAAGATTTTTACCAGCTTCTTCAGTCTGAAATTGATCAAACATGCAATCAGGATGTGTTGATAATTACGGGTGATTGGAATGCAAAAGCTGGAAACGAAGAAGGATCGGTAGTTGGAAAATACGGCCTTGGTGATAGAAACAATGCCAGAGATTGCATGATAGAATTTTGCAAAAGCAAAGACTTCTTCATTGCAAATACCTCTTTTCACCAACATAAATGGCGACTATCCACATGGACCTTGCCAGATGGAATACACAGGAATCAAATCAGTTACACCTGTGGAAAGAGACAATGGAAAAGCTCAATATCATCAACCAGAGCAAGGCCAGGGGCTGACTGCAGAACAGACCATCAATTGCTCATATGCTAGTTCAAGTTGAAACTGAAGAAAATTAGAACAAGTCCACAACAGCCAAAGTACGATCTTGAGTATATCCCACCTGAATTTAGAGACCATCCCAAGAATAGATTTGACGTGTTGAACACTAATGACCAAAGACCAGACGAGCTGTGGAATGACATCAAGGACATCATATGTGAAGAAAGCAAGAGGTCATTAAAAAGACAGGAGAGAAAGAAAAAACCAAAGTGGATGTCAGAAGAGACTCCGAAACTTGCTCTTGAACGTCAAGTAGCTAAAGCAAAAGGAAGAAATGATGAAGTAAAAGAAATGAACAGAAGATTTCAAAGAGTAGCTCGACAAGTAATGTATTATAATGACACGTACAAAGAGCTGGAGATAGAAAACCAAAAGGGAAGAACATGCTCGGCATTTCTCAAGCTGAAAGAACTGAAAAAAAAATTCAAGCCTCGAGTTGCAATAGGGAAGGATTCTATGGGGAAAATATTAAACGACGCAGGAAGCATCAAAAGAAGATGGAAGGAATACACAGAGCATTATACCAAAAAGAACTGGTCGATGTTCAACCATTTCAGGAGGCAGCATATGATCAGGAGCTGATGGTACTGAAAGAAGAAGTCCAAACTGCACTGAAGGCATTGGCAACAAACAAGGTTCCAGGAATTAATGGAATATCAATTGAGATGTTTCAACAAACGGAAGCAGTGCTGGATCTGCTTACCTGTCTATGCCAAGAAATTTGGAGGACAGCTCCCTGGACAACTGACCAAAGAGATCCATATTTATGCCTATTCCCAAGAAAGGCGATCCAACCAAATGTGGAAATTATCAAACAATATCGTTAATATCACACGCAAGTAAAATTTTGCCGAAGATCATTCAAAAGCCGCTGCAGCAGTATGTCGACAGGGAACTGCCAGAAATTCAGGCCGAGTTCAGAAGAGGACAGGGAACCAGCGATATCGTTGCTGATGTCACATGGATCCTGGCTGAAAGCAGAGAATGCCAGAAAGATGTTTACCTGTGTTTTATTGACTATGCTAATGCATTCGACTGTGTGGATCATAACAAATTATGGATAACATTGTGAAGAACTGGAATTCCAGAACACTTACTTATGCTCATGAGGAAACTACATAGATCAAGAGGCAGTTGTTTGGACAGAACAAGGGGCTACTGCATGGTTTAAAGTAAGGAAAAATGTGCGTCAGGGTTGTATCCTTTCACCATACCTATTCAATCTGTATGCTGAGCAAATAATCCGAGAAGCTGGACTATATGAAGAAGAACAGGGCATCAGGATTGGAGGAAGACTCATTAACAACCTGTGATACGCAGATTACACAATCTTGCTTGCTGAATGTGAAGGGGACTTGAAGCGGACTTGAAGCATTTACTGATGAAGATCAAATACCACAGTCTTCAGTATGGATTACACCTCAACATAAAGAAATCAAAAATCCTCACAACTGGACCAATAAGCAATATGACGATAAACAGAGAAAAGATAGAAGTTGTCAAGGATTCATTTTACTTGGATCCACAATCAACACCCATGGAAGCAGCAGTCACGAAATCAAAAGATGCATTGCATTGAGCAAATCTGCTGCAAAAGACCTTGAAGACTAAGGTGCGCCTGACCCAAGCCATGGTGTTTTCAATCGCATCATATGCGTGCGAAAGCTGGCAATGAATAAGGAAGACCGAAGAAGAATAGACACGTTTGAATCGTGGTGTTGGTGAAGAATATTGAATATAGCATGGACTGCCAAAAGAACGAACAAATCTGTCTTGGAAGAAGTACAACCAGAATGCTCCTTAGA